GGATGGATGGGGCCATGTGTCGTGAGATCTTGGCCAACAACCTCCTTCCCTCAGTAAGAGCATTGAAGATGGGTCGTGGCTGGGTCTTCCAGCATGACAACGACCCGAAACACACAGCCAGGGCAACTAAGGAGTGGCTCTGTAAGAAGCATCTCAAGGTCCTGGAGTGGCCTAGCCAGTCTCCAGACCTGAACCCAATAGAACATCTTTGGAGGGAGCTGAAAGCCCTATTGCCCAGCGACAGCCCTGAAACCTGAAGGATCTGGAGAAGGTCTGTATGGAGGAGTGGGCCAAAATCCCTGCTGCAGTGTGTGCAAACCTGGTCAAGACCTACAGGAAACGTATGATCTCTGTAATTGCAAACAAAGGTTTCTGTACCAAATATTAAGTTCTGCTTTTCTGATGTATCAAATACTTATGTCATGCAATAAAATGCAAATTAATTACTTAAAAATCATACAATGTGATTTTCTGGATTTTTGTTTTAGATTCCGTCTCTCACAGTTGAAGTGTACCTATGATAAAAATTACAGACCTCTACATGCTTTGTAAGTAGGAAAGCCTGCAAAATCAGCAGTGTATCAAATACTTGTTCTCCCCACTGTATCATTTGTATGCACTCGAATAGCGAATGGAGGCCACTTTCCCAACGGTTCGTCCCATGTTGGGTAGACTACTACGGTTATTTCTCCGCACAACAGGTGATATTCCGCCCCAACTCTGTATGCCATGGCCTCTCCAACCCTTTTCCTGCAGCTACCTAGTGAAATCTGTTCGGGAACATCGATAGTAACATGTTTTCCCAACTAAACATACACAACATGACCAAAAGTATGTGAACACCTGCATGTCAAACATCTCATTACAAAATTATGGGCATTAATATGGAGTTGGTCTCCCCTTTGCTCCTATAACAGCCTCCACTCTTCTGGGAAGGCTTTTCACTAGATGTTGGAACATTGCTGCGGGTACTTGCTTCCATTCAGTCACAAGAGCATTAGTGAGGTTGGGCACTGATGTTGGGCGATTGGGCCTGGCTCGCAGTCGGTGTTCCAATTTATCCCAAAGGTGTTCGATGGGGTTGAGGTCAGGGCTCTGTGCAGGCCAGTCATGTTCTCCCATACCGATATCGACAAACCATTCCTGTATGGACCTGTCATGCTGAAACAGGAAAGGGCCTTCCCCAAACTGTTGCCACAAAGTTGGAAGCACAGAATCGTCTAGAATGCCATTGCATGTTGTAGCCTTAAGATTTCCCTTCACTGGAACTAAGGGGCCTAGCCAAAACCATGAAAAACAGCCCCAGACCATTATTCCTCCTCCACCAAACTTTACATTTGGCACAATGCATTCAGGCAGGTAGAGTTCTCCTGGCATCCACCAAATCCAGATTAGTCCGTCGGACTGCCAGATGGTGAAGCGTGATTCATCACTCCAGAGAACATATTTCGACTGCTCCAGAGTCCAATGGCGGCGAGCATTACACCACTCCAGCCGACGCTTGGCATGGTGATCTTAGGCTTGGGCCATGGAAACCCATTTCATGAAGCTCCCGACTAACAGTTTCCAGAGGCAGTTTGGAACTCGGTAGTGAGTGTTGCAACCGAGGACAGACAATTTCTACACGCTACCTGCTTCAGCACTCGGCGGTACCGTTCTGTGAACTTGTGTGGCCTACCACTTCGCAGCTGAGCCGTTGTTGCTCCTAGATGTTTCTACTTCACAATAACAGCCCTTACAGTTGACCGAGATAGCTCTAGCAGTGCAGAAATATTATGAACTGACTTGTTGGAAGGTGGCATCCTATGACGGTGCCACATTGAAAGTCACCGAGCTCTTCAGTAAGGCTATTCTACTGCCAATATTTGTCTATGGAGATTGCATGGCTGTGTGCTCGATTTTATACACCTGTCAGCAACAGTGTGGCTAAAATAGCCAAATCCACTAACTTCAAGGGGTGTCCACATACATTTGTATATATAGTGTATTTCATTGAACTGTTGACAGCCCCTCTCTCTGCGCGCTGAATAAAGGAATGAAGGAGAGAAGGGAGGAGATGGAAACGCGGTGGTGAGATATTCTGTAGCTAAAGGTAATGCGTCAGCCTATTAATTATGAAAATATAAAAAACGCCCTATTACTAGGTTATTCAAAATCAAAAACAAATTCATTTTAATGTAGGCTAACTCTGAATTTGTTTAATTTAGGCTAGACCAATTAAGTACCAAAGATATCTTAAATCCGTTTTTTAAAATGTTTTTCTGCCTTCTGTAATATGCAGTTAGGCTTTGCAGTGCCTTCTGAAAGTATTCAGACCCCTTGACTTTTTCCACTTTGTTACGTTACAGCCTTATTCTACATTTAAAATGTATTAAATAGTTTTTCCCCCCTCATCAATCTACACACAATACCCCATAATGACAAAGCAAAAACAGATTTCTAGATTTTTTCCCTAGCTTATATAAAATAAAATAAACTGAAATATCACATTTACGTAAGAATTCTAACCCTTTACTCAGTACTTTGTTGAAGCACATTTGGCAGCGATTACAGCATCGAGCCTTCTTGGGTATGACGCTACAAGCTTGGCACACCTATATTTGGGGAGTTTCTCCCATTCTTCTCTGCAGATCCTCTCAAGCTCTGTCAGGTTGGATGGGGAGCGTTGCTGCACAGCTATTTTCAGGTCTCTCCAGAGATGTTCGATCAGGTTCAAGTCCAGGCTCTGGCTGGGCCACTCAAGGACATTCAGAGACTTGTCCCGAAGCCACTCCTGCGTTGTCTTGGCTGTGTGCTTAGGGTCGTTGTCCTGTTGGAAGGTGAACCTTTGCCCCATTCTGAGGTCCTGAGCGGTCTGGAGCAGGTTTTCATCAAGGATCTCTTTGTACTCCGTTCATCTTTCCCTCGATCCTGACTAGTCTCCTAATCCCTGCCGATGAAAAACAACATCCCCACAGCATGATGCTGCCAGGTTTCCTGCAGACGTGACGCTTGGTATTCAGGCCAAAGAGTTCAATCTTGGTTTCATCAGACCATAGAATCTTGTTTCTCATGGTCTGAGAGTCTTTAGGTGCTTTTTGGAAAACTCCAAGCGGGCTGTCATGCCCCTTTTATTGAGGAGTGGTTTCCGTCTGGCCACTCTACCATAAAGGTCTGATTGGTGGAGTGCTGCAGAGATGGTTGTTCTTCTAAGAGGTTCTCCCATCTCCACAGATGAACTCTACAGCTCTGTCAGAGTGACCATCGGGTTCATGGTCACCTCCCTGACCAAGGCCCTTCTCCCACCGATTGCTCAGTTTGGCCGGGTGGCCAGCTCTAGGAAGAGTCCTGGTGGTTCCAAAATTCTTCCATTTAAGAATGATGGAGGCCACTGTGTTCTTGTGGACCTTCAATGCTGCAGACATTTTTTGGTACCCTTTCCCAGATCTGTGCCTCTAAACAATGCTGTCTCGAAGCTCTACGGAAAATTCCTTCAACCCCAAGGCTTGGTTTTTGCTCTGACATGCACTGTCAACTGTGGGACCTTATATAGACAGGTGTGTGCCTTTCCAAATCATGTCCAATCAATTTAATTTACCACAGGTGGTCTCCAATCAAGTTTTAGAAACATTATAAGTCTCATAGCAAAGGGTCTGAATAGTTATGTAAATAAGGTATTTCTGTTTTATTTTCATTAATTTTTTGCTACAATTTCTACAAACCTGTTTTCACTTTGTCATTATGGGGTATTGTGTGTAGATTGCTGAGGAAAAAAACTATATTTAATCCATTTTAGAATAGGGCAGTAACTTAACAAGTCAAGGGGTCTGAATGCTTTCCGAAGGCACTGTATATTGTATAACAGCACAATCATTATTTTAATTCAGGGTTATTTTTTCAGGCTCATATATAGCCCTATGCATATGCATAATTCTCTAATAATAATGTGGGTGTTTTGAATGAATCATCACCTTATAAAGCGCTGTCCATTTCGTTGTTAGGCTTTGAAACAACATCCACAATGACCACGTTTTCCACTCAGTTTGAACCTGCTGTTGAACTTCTTTCTTCAACTTGATCAATCACAGTGGGGTGAGTTTTAAAAGCACATACTGTTTTGATGTGTTCGATGTGATTTTCAAATGCATTTGCATTGATATCAGAGTGGTTAGAGGGACAATGGAGCCCTGAGTACCAGGCCATTAGCGACCTGATGATTAGTGTCCAGAGTGCATAAGAGGAGATTACCATGACTCAACAGTCACATAGAATTTGACTGCAGTCATGACTCATGACTGCCGGTGTCGCGGTAATGCAGTCACCGCAACAGCCCTATCCACAACTCAATAAAGCCACACAATGCGGAGGGACACAAATAAAGATCTGTCTTTGTCACCAAACAAATGAAACGGGTTCTCCGCTGCCGTTATCATGATGATGGTAATAATAATATATATATATTTTTTGTATGGGTGGTCCCGGGGATCGAACCCACTACCCTGGCGTTACAAGCGCCGTGCTCTACCAGCTGAGCTACAGAGGACCATTATTGTTTTGCATCCATGACGACAACAGTAATTGTTTAGTTCTTCCCCCTTTGTATCTTCCGTCTCAGTTCCTAAGGAATGACTGTATTTTTCCACATCCTACACGCTGTAATGGAGATGCATTATACTTTTATGTCTCTCATCCCTCACTCCCCTCTTTCTCATCCCCATGTACCTTCTTTGTTTAGCAAAAAGGATTAAGTGCTTTAATTACATTGTATGAGAAAAGAAAAGCCATCTCACATCAGGATATGAGCATCGGGCAGGGGATGTGGTTGCTATGGGTACGGGATGGGAGAGGGAAAGGGGGGTGGGGGGAGAAAAGGAGGAAAGCGCTGCCTGGGGAGCAGACTGAGGAAGGGAAAGACGAAGGGAGACTCTAATGTACTTTTATTCTGCCTTAATGAAGAAAATACGCGCCTGAATTACAGAGGAGAATACTGGCACACACTCTGCAGTCACTAGGGCTAGCTATGTGGCTAATGCTAGAGAAATGTATAGTAGACAGTGGATTGATGAGGATAGTGAGTGGGGAATACACAGTAACAAGAGAACAGTGTTCCTGGTTTTGGGAATATAACTCACCAGTTTGAAGAGTTCTGTGACACTGATCTCGTCTGGGTCCACCATGCTGAACTCCCTGCGAGGTACCAGGTCCAAACTCAGCTGTCTGGAACACACACCACAGCACTGTCAGCGCATCAAACCATTTAGACAGGACACACTTGACAAAACTGCAAGTCTGCTATGTCTCACAGGGACATAGAGGAGTAGAGGGGTACCCACACACACTCTCCAATCTCCCAGGGATAGATCAGTCTTTCAAAGCATGGGATGGTATAAGACTGGGAGAGGCAGGGGGAGCCGTCTGTCGTCTGTCCACACCCAACAGCAAGGGACTGACAGGTGTCGTTTTATCCCTTCTTCCCGGGAGATAGACACGCAGTGGAAAGTGTTTGTGTGTGTCTGTTTGATACAAAATGAAAAGTGTGTGTATGTGTCTGTTTGAACGTGTGGTGTGTCTGTTTGAAGGAGAACGAAACTGATTGAGCACAGCATGTGCCTGGGGAGGGAGTGTGACATTCAAAGACAGGGACTGGGGACTGGGATGCAGGAATGTTTCTCTCTCGCCACTACTCACTCGTTTCCCCAGTCCAACCTGGCAGTGATGTGCTGTTTGACGTCTTTCATGCGGTCGTTGGTGAGGTGACCAACCAGAACCTGTCTCCTCAGGTCCAGGATCTCATTCATCACATGCCACAACCGATGGAACAGATCCCCTTCATTCTTCTACAGAGAGAGAGAGAGAGCGAGAGACAGAGAGACATATCAGAGTAAAAAAATTGGGGCCAGACAGTCAGCCTTCCATAACAAATAATGCATCACAAATTCAGACGTTCTGTCTAACAAGCACAGGTAAATTATCCTATATGTGTGTGTTGAACACTCTTTACCACGTAGAGCCGTTTCCACATGGCCCCCCAGTCTCTCAGGGTGGATGTCATCTCAGTGATAACAGAGTCCTCTGTGGGGATGACAGTCTCAAACTGCCTGTGGGTCAGAGAAAGAGAGAGGGACATCAAATTACTACAGTATAACTACCGAGCCGGAGTTAAAATACACGCACGCACACACGCACACACGCACACGCGCACACACACAGAGATAATAATGCAGTATCATTATGAGGCTGGTAGAAGAAGCACTTAACCTCTGTTCTGTTATTATGACGTTAATCTAACTTTTCCTTTCCACAGAAATGACATAAACCTCCCTCACCTTCCAGACTGGCTGATCTAATAAGGATGTTTGCCTTCTCAGAGACAGACACAGGGAGACACAAACGGACACACACACACGCACACACACACTGAAACAGACACACACCCACTCACACACACACACACACACACAATACACTCATTACTTACCCTTTGTTCTTGATATGGGCGTTCTTCAAGTGAATGTAACTGCATGGGAAAATACCCTGGGGGGGAGAGAATAAACAAACTAATGAATGTTGAATGTCATTCTAACTGTATCATTCAACAGTACTAACATTAACACATTCTGTTAGCGAGTGTAAATGATGCATATAATCAATATAAATAAATGTACTTGTGTGTGTGTGTCAACTTGACATTATTAAACTATGAGCCTCTCCCTATTGACCTGCTTGCTGCACAGCCCTCAGATCAAAGCAGAGACCGGATATTTCTGAATCTGAAAATAGCAGCTGAACTGACAGCTTCAATACACAAAAAAAGTCTCACCCACCTTGGCATTTGGATTCTTATGGACGAACCCCCTGTACCAGCCTGAGGAGACAAAAAATCACATTTTCATCATGTCACCGTGACTTTCAGACCCGCTATCTTTCCTTCTATCGAAGAGTCTGTGTGTGTGTGTGTCCACTGAGTTAATAGATAGCATTCCTATTATGATTCTGAAGATTGGCTCTTCTGCGCTCTCAGTTAAAATGTCAACCACCAAATAATCAATTTCATTCCATCACTACAGCATCTGATATGGGAGTGGAGAGTAGGAGAGGAGAGAAAGAGCTGTCTGGTTAAGTAATGGCTGCCTCTCACTGCCAAACAAATGACTGGGGCTGTGTCTCAAATGGCACCCTAGTCCCTGTATAGTGCACTACTTTTGACCAGAGCCCTATGGGCTATAGGGTGCCATTTGGGATGCAGCCCGGGGGTTACTGAAGCATCGCCACTTCAGCTCCGACCACACCAGTCGTAGAGCTGCCGAGCTGTAAAACAAACGCCCAGCTGGAACACTTTATCACGGGAGGCAGTATCTGTCACTGCACTGTTTACTGCAGCCTACCAGGCACGGTGTTACATGGCACTGAGCACCCAGTATTTGTTGTGGCCACCGGCCAGGCTGGTGAGCCAGGGGGTGTCAGTAGCACCAGGGGGTGTAAGTAGTACTAGTAACCTAAGGTCATAATGTGCTACTCAGTCCAGCACCTGTCTGTGACAGTGCTAAAGAGGTAAGAGTGATAGAGACAAGGTGAGAATGAGTCTCACTGTGGTCCTGCCTACTGAAGGACCTCTGCTATGCATTTTCTATTAGAAGTCTTTCTAGTTTTTGCTTGGCCAGAGTGTCAGAGAAGAAGCGGTCGTATGTTACCTATCACACTTCATTTGAGTGATCACACTACAGTAGCAACTTGATGACACAGTACCAGCAATGGCAGAAGCCCTTTTTTAGTAACTTGTCTCCTCTTTAGTACAGAATAACACCCTTTCTTGCCTTTGGGTTGTGGGAACTGGTACAGATTGTATATCTTCCCTCCCACCAAACCAACCACATACACTACAGGACCAAAAGTATATGGCCACCTGCTCGTCGAACATCTCATTCCAAAATCATGGGAATTAATATGGAGTTTGTCCCCCCTTTGCTGCTATAACAGACTCCACTCTTCTGGGAAGGCTTTCCACTAGATGTTGAAACATTGCTGCGGGGACTTGCTTCCATTCAGCCACAAACGCATTAGTGAAGTTGGGCACTGATGTTGGGTGATTAGGCCTGTTCGATGGGGTTGAGGTCAGGGCTCTGTGCAGGCTCATTAAGTTCTTCCACACCGATCGACAAAACATTTCTGTATGGACCTCGCTTTGTGCACGGGAGCATTGTCATTCTGAAACAGGAAAGGGCCTTCCCCAAACTGTTGGAAGCACAGAGTGTCTAGAATGTCATTGTATGCTGTAGCGTTAAGATTTCCCTTCACTGGAACTAAGGGGCCTAGCCCAAACCATGAAAAACAGCCCCAGACCATTATTCCTCCTCTACCAAACTTTACAGTTGGCATTACAGTGAGGGAAAAAAGAATTTGATCCCCTGCTGATTTTGTACGTTTGCCCACTGACAAAGAAATGATCAGTCTATCATTTTAAATGGTAGGTGAGAGACAGAATAACAACAAAAAAATCCAGAAAAATGCATGTAAAAAAATGTGAAAATTGATTTGCATTTTAATTAGGGAAATAAGTATTTGACCCCCTCTCAATCAGAAAGATTTCTGTCTCCCAGGTGTCTTTTATACAGGTAACGAGCTGAGATTAGGAGCACACTCTTAAAGGGAGTGCTCCTAATCTCAGCTTGTTACCTGTATAAAAGACACCTGTCCACAGAAGCAATCAATCAATCAGATTCCAAACTCTCCACCATGGCCAAGACCAAGAGCTCTCCAAGGATGTCAGGGACAAGATTGTAGACCTACACAAGGCTGGAATGGGCTACAAGACCATCGCCAAGCAGCTTGGTTAGAAGGTGACAACAGTTGGTGCGATTATTCGCAAATGGAAGAAACACAAAAGACCTGTCAATCTCCCTCGGCCTGGGGCTCCATGCAAGATCTCACCTTGTGGAATTGCAATGATCATGAGAATGGTGAGGAATCAGCCCAGAACTACACGGGAGGATCTTGTCAATGATCTCAAGGCAGCTGGGACCATAGTCACCAAGAAAACAATTGGTAACACACTACGCCGTGAAGGACTGAAATCCTGCAGTGTCCGCAAGGTCCCCCTGCTCAAGAAAGCACATATACTGGCCCGTCTGAAGTTTGCCAATGAACATCTGAATGATTCAGAGGAGAACTGGGTGAAAGTGTTGTGGTCAGATGAGACCAAAATCGAGCTCTTTGCCATCAACTCAACTCGCCGTGTTTGGAGGAGGAGGAATGCTGCCTATGACCCCAAGAACACCATCCCCACCGTCAAACATGGAGGTGGAAACATTATGCTTTGGGGGTGTTTTTCTGCTAAGGGGACAGGACAACTTCACCGCATCAAAGGGACGATGGACGGGGCCATGTACCGTCAAATCTTGGGTGAGAACCTCCTTCCCTCAGCCAGGGCATTGAAAATGGGTCGTGGATAGGTATTCCAGCATGACAATGACCCAAAACACACGGCCACGGCAACAAAGGAGTGGCTCAAGAAGAGGCACATTAAGGTCCTTGAGTGGCCTAGCCATTCTCCAGACCTTAATCCCATAGAAAATCTGTGGAGGGAGCTGAAGAGTTGCCAAACGTCAGCCTCGAAACCTTAATGACTTGGAGAAGATCTGCAAAGTTGAGTGGGACAAAATCCCTCCTGAGATGTGTGCAAACCTGTTGGCCAACTACAAGAAACGTCTGACCTCTGTGATTGCCAACAAGGGTTTTGCCACCAAGTACTAAGTCATGTTTTGCAGAGGGGTCAAATACTTATTTCCCTCATTAAAATGCAAACCAATTTATAACATTTTTGTCATGCGTTTTTCTGGATTTTTTGTTGTTATTCTGTCTCTCACTGTTCAAATAAACCTATCAATAAAATTATAGACTGATCATGTCTTTGTCAGTGGGCAAACGTACAAAATCAGCAGGGGATCAAATACTTTTTTCCCTCACTGTATGCATTGGGGCAAGTAGCGTTCTCCAGGCATCCGCCAAACCCAGATTCATTAGTCGGACTGCCAGATGGTGAAGCGTGATTCATCATACCAGAGAATGCGTTTCCACTGCTCCAGAGTCCAATGGCGGCGAGCTTTACACCACTCCAGCCGACGCTTGGCAATGCGCATGGTGATCTTAGGCTTGTGTGTGGCTGCTTAGCCATGGAAACCCATTTCATGAAGCTCCCGACGAACAGTTATTGTGCTGACGTTGCTTCCAGAGGCAGTTTGGAACTCGGTAGTGAGTGTTACAACCGAGGACAGATTATCTTTACGCGCTACGCGCTTCAGCACTCGGCGATCCAGTTCTGTGAGCTTGTGTGGCATACCACTTCACGGCTGAGCCGCTGTTACTCCTATACGTTTCCACTTCACAATAACAGGTGGCATCCTATGACGGTGCCATGTTGAAAGTCACTGAGCTCTTCAGTAAGGCCATTCTACTGCCAATGTTTGTCTATGGAGATTGCATGGCTGCATGCTCAATTTTATACACCTGTCAGCAACGGGTGTGGCTGAAATAGCCAAATCCACTCATTTGAAGGGGTGCCCACATACTTTTGCATTCATAGTGTATATTAGATGTCAGATCATTTCCTTCAGTGAGTTCGGAATGTATCATCAGCTATCTCAGACGGATCTGTCGTCTGTCTGTCTGTCTGTCTGTCCTTGAGCAACAACAGGAAGTGAGATCATTCCGCCCTGAGAAGGGAGGAATGTTGCGTCAATGCTGTGTAAGTTAGCTGGGTGGAAACAGGAAGGTGTGACGGGCGCCTGCTCTGCTCTGTCTGAAACTATGTGAAAAATTAAACCTGGAGTGTGAGTGCCTCGGCCTTGAGGCTCACACACTCCTTCACAATACACAGGCAAGCAGGGACACACACACACTCCTTAGCATGTACACACACACATGCAAGCAAGCACACACACACAAGCTCTCAGTCTCTTTGAGTCTAAGGCAAGCAAGCAAACACACACACACACACTCTCTCTCTGAGCTCAGTGTGGGCGGGAAGTAGGAAGCGAAGTCTGCTCCCTCTCCCGGCAAAGGAAACAGTAGCAAACTGAGAGCCTCCACAAACGTTTATCTCATCAAATACAAAAAAAATACAAAAGTCTATTAACATTTCATGTGCAACACAATACTCCTGGAGGGACGGACTGGGGAAGGAAACGTGGCCCAACCTCAAAGGTTGACTACATCCCCAGCAGCAGCAGCAGTAGCAGCCCATCTGTGAGTCACAGTGGCTGTCTGTGAAGCTCGAAGGGGGGTTCATGGTTTATGTGGGTGTGAAATGAGTAGAGGTTATCAGTTACCTTCACATTTCTCCAGGAGCTGCACTGTGTCCCCAATCTCCAATGGCAAGCCATGCTGGACCGTCCCTCGGAAACTGGCCAGCACTGGAACAAAATAAAAGACACATACTTTAATACTTGTGTGTAGTTTTATGTGTGTAACTAGGTAACACACACCGACTCGACACACAGTCACAAAAAAGTCATAAATCACTCTCTTTTCATGTCACTAGAATTGAATCCGAGCACAACTGTCTTGACTTTGAGGTTGTGATGTGATTTGTTTCTAGTGTTCTCTGAGCAGTGAGAAAGGGAGAAGAGAATAGCCTGCTGGTTGCTGGTAGATTGAGTAAGCCTCTGGGTGACAGGCTGATTTGGAGGAAAATAAGCTGGGAATATAATGTCATCCTGGGTCTTTCTGCTAAGAAGGCTCTTGTGGAGGAGGGAGGCAACACCTGAGGAGGCTTAGAGTAGGACTCTCTTTGATGAGAAGCACGGTCAGTTAGAGAGAGAGAGAGCCTGAAGGACAGAGAGAGAGAGAGAGAAACATCTCAGTCGATCAGCACAGAGCACTTTGCTCTAACAGCATCTAATAGCTGGGTTAGTAGTGAGGAGTGTCGACAGATGCCATTCTCTGTGGTTCTGAGAAACAGGACATGATAACAGCACTCAGAGAATTATCCAAGCTGCCACACACTGACACACTCAGGGGGAAACACATCTAATAGGGTTTGTACTACGACATGGAAATGAGGAAGACTCGAGTCAGGCAAGGATTTTGGAGAGGGTTTCATTTCATGGGGCACAGGGCAATCTTGTGTAACTGACCTGGCTGCAAAGTCGCTGGAACTCTAATTGGGAGGTTCCGCTACATGAAATATAACTAACTTCAAAACAAACTTCACTTGCACCATGCTAACTCTTCAACCACATGGTAAATCAAAGAATAACTGACAACACATCCAGACTGAACTCCTGGGGCACATCAAAACCCTGGGGAGAACGAAATGCCACATCAGTTCTACCAATTAAATCACAGCGTGGACAGTATCCTATCTGTGAAAACCTAGTGTAGTCCACACTGCATATTCATATTTGGACTCAGTTCCCATGTTATCCTTAACTCAGTCACAAAACAATTATTTGAGGCATTTGTTTCACGTGTTCAATTTGACTTTGTAATTCAAAGGGGGGGGGGGTAAACACACCAAGTCCAATGCATGAATTATACAAGTAGAGTTTTTCAGCTGCAGTGTACAAAATTATGCAGCTTGAAGTAGAGTTTTGACAGAGCTGAATCACTTCCTGGTAATCCATTCCCCAGCTGTTGTCTGTTTGTTAACTGGAATGGCTCTTTTCCAGAAATGTTGGCACTTGAAAGGTTCACTCAGCAGAGAATATCGTTTTTATTTTCTCTCCAGGTGAGTGGAGGAAGTGCCGCTTTAAAGGCAGGACAGAGAGGACAGCACACACACACACACACACACACACACACACAAACGAAAGAAGGGGACAGAGAGAAGAGAGAGTGCAAATCGAAGCCCACAGCCTTGCACCCACACACACCCACCACAGTGTAATAAAAATATGATAAAGGGCATAAAAAAAGCCTCACACACAAATATAACAACACCACAGATGCACAGATATGATATGTGTACATAAACACACACAGCCGTGGTCTCATAGCCTCATTGTGGTGAACCTGTCACGCAGGGGCAGGGCCCCCATGTTTCCATTCGGCTTGGTCTAAAGCAGGAGTTCAGCCACCACAAGCTGTGCTCTGCTCCGCTGTGACACACATCTACTCGTGGGCAAACGGCTGTTCCTATTTCTGACCAGGCAGCCTCGATCATGCTGCACTAACTTAGACATTACGTAAAGACTGCAGGAAACGGAAAAAAAGAGACAGAGGAATTTCAGGAACTGGGATAAAAGTCACAAACTGAAATAAAAGTCCTGGAATGAACTATGACTGAGATCCATGAACATATATGACACTAGCTCCTTCAGACTTGAGATGTAAAGATGTTTATGTCCAAACGGGAAGTAGGTAACTATGCTCCATTCCTGAGCCAAAGTGGAGACTTAGTCGCACTGACATCCAGTAATGTACCCATGGGCTGGGTGCGCTACGACTCTGTAAGGATCAGCCGCTCCTGAGACTCTCACCTTGCCCTAATCCTAAGGCAGTCCCTCAAAGCCAGAGAGAAGACTGACTGTGTAGTCAGTGTTCTGCCAAGGGTGGATTGGGAAAGGCAAGCAGATCAGTACAAAGAGTGTGTGTGAATTGGGCTTACATGTCCTTTAGGCTGCCATTTGGAGTCTAGGCCTGTCAAGTGATCCTACATTTGGTTTGTCGGTCTCCCTCTAAGCTCCTTATAGGAACATGATGCAGAACACTGGTTCAAACAAGCTTTGGTGTGGTTTGTGGTGTTGTGTTCAAAGGCACTGGGTTTCACAGGTTGTACTGAATTTATCAAGCAATACCAGGTTTACAACTAGCTAGGTATTACACAGACCTTGGTGTCATGTGTTCAAACCACGCAAGATGTAAAAGGTAAGTAGCTACCGACTGAGTGTGGCAGGCATAACAGTAACGTTTGAAAGGATATTAAAACAATTGTGTTGCATGAACCAGACAGAATATTCAGAGAAGACAACGAAACATACATAGCAGGTTCTTAGTACAGAGAGTATCTGCCAAAAGAACTAGAAAAACAACATGCAGTCCAACCGACGAGCAAATTGTGTTCAAAAGCCTCCATAAAAGTGCTTTTAACAGCCCTGCTTCACCCCCTTTCTCTCTGATTTGTGTTCCGACAACGAATCACACTCGTAATCCACTCCTCCGTCATCAATTATTCAACACATCATTAATATGCTAATTCATTGCCACAGACACGGGTGGTCCATTGACCTTGCTGCCAGAAATGAGCAAGCGTGCATTTTGCATTATTCAGATGTGTTGTGGTTGGAGTCCTACTCCAATCCACACATACTGCAATCTAATGTAATGTAATCAGATTAATAAATAATGGAGAGAACGGGACCGCACTTGAGTTGCAGGAAGTTGCAAAACAATTAATTAGCAGTAAGTGATTTTCAAAATGGAAAGTGATATCCTTCGTTTTTCCCCTCCTCTTAGCCATCCCTCCTCTCATTCCCTCTCCTCCTTTTTCTATACCTTCGCTATGTGCAAGGCTGCGAGTTGAGGATGGTTAAGTCCTGCTTTATTTATACTCTGGCGCTCTGCAGAATTTACATCTCAAACCACAGCCATTTGCTTGGGTTTGATTTCATAACCATGAAACGGTTGGGTTTCATAATGGGAACTCGGCTGTCAGAGTTAGAATATCCAAATTATCTTTAGAATCAGTGATTTATTCAAAGTTCTCAACAGATCCTTAATGTTCTCTGGCATAGGGCTGGTAGTTGGTACAGGCATGCCATTGTGGCTTTGACACGGGTAGAGAAACAGCATTATTTCTGCCGTACAGTGGAGCCCCAATCGGAAACAAAGACAGCATCTGTCTGTCCAAGTCTAAGACCGTCTTTATATTGCTTTACTGTGCAATTTTCTGGACTCGACCGTGGCCCAAATACTCTCTATTCTAGCTATGCGAATAAACATGACAGAGTAACCCAGAATTAACCATGTTGTTTGAATGGGTCCCAACCCATTATGTCCCAGTTCTAGGGAAACATTACAGTTGGACATTCTTTTCAATGCGTAGAACAGGCATGAGTCTTAAAATACCCACTAATAACATACTTTTCCACTGTGTTATTGACCCAAGGCAATGACTCAGCCCCTGTGGTTAAGTACACATGCCTACAGCCCTCAGCCCCTCCAAACACACTAAGCAGCTTTGGGGCAGAGAAATGTATGTGTGTGCATGCGTGTGTGTATATGCGCACCACAGTCCAGTGAGACATGGGGCACAAAGCTTTGGGCCTGGTCATCTGACAGAGTGCTGTAACACTGAGACAGGGATTAAAGAAGTGCCGATGCGCTTCAGCGCTCTGCTCTCTCTCACAAAGGTGATTTCCTGGGGATGAGATTCGACCCTGGAAGAGGCCGCTATTGCATTTTAAAGCAGGAGGACTCAACAGGGGCTGACAGCGTGAGAGGAGGCAGCAGACGCCTGCCTCACAGCATAGAGTATATGCACACACACACACACACACCTGCCTCACAGCAAACAAACAAACACACGCCTGCCTAACAGCATCCAGACGATACGTCTGCTCAGCTACAGAGATATATATAGGCTCTCTCTCTGTCTGCTAAAGAAAGGGAAAGACTGGCCAACAAAAGCTAGACAGGCGAAATCGCTCACGAGGAACGGCTTTCATTTCACCTTTTCCTTTTCAGGTTGTCCTTTCGATGCCTTTGTATGTCGAGATAATATTGATAAGCAGGCTCGGGGAAACAAGAGCTCGCTGGCAACAATAGCCTTCCCTCGAATCACAACACTTCAAAATGAGCTTTCTGAAAATATAAGTGTATAGCTTCTCTGAGGTGGCAAGGGCACGCACAGAATATAAAGGAATAAAAACCAATGTAATTACTACAAATAACTGTGAGCAAAAGAACATCATACCGGGATCCATAATGTTTGATGAATACAAATATAAGCCATACAATAGGCTTACTCCTACAAATGTCAATGCAAGTAAATCATGCAAGACCTCACAAGGAGTAAGATTGGTTGGTGCTTTGTTCACTCTGGTCTGAATGTATTCATAAAAGGCAAGATTATGAGCTTGAAAGGTGCCCCGGAGAGCAGTGTGCTCTTAGAGAGGTGCTAATTGTGTGTGTGTGTGTGTGTTTGTGTACATGTGCATGTTAACGTGTGTGTGTGTGTGTGTGTGTGTGTGTGTGTGTGTGTGTGTGTGTGTGTGTGTGTGTGTGTGTGTCCGCAACCTTTCAGCAGCATCCTGTGAGACCCTTGAGAACCCCTTCTCTTTCTGCTCATTAAAAGGGAAGTCTGAGAGGAACTGGGTGTTCTGCTGTGGCTGCTTTAGCATGCAGATCTCTCCTAGTGCTTGATTAGCACTAACTAAAGCCTCTCGTAAAGAAAGAGCTCCCTTGGCTCT